ATTTGGCGTTATTTTTGTTGGATTTAAATTGGTAGTACACAAAATTACATAATATATGTAGTAATTATGGAAGTAAGTACACGCCACGCTAATCTGATAATCTTATCTTGCACGTAAGAAAATTACTACACCGTTGTGCATAATGTACTGCAATTAAGGTTTCTCTATAATTATCACGAACCGAAATAATGCGTGTTCCAAAAACTAGTGCCGGCGAGCAGCGACCACTTGTACTTTTTATTAATACCAACAATCGTATAAGTTAGATCTACTTTCAGTTCAACAAACAATAGGTTTCTTTCCTTTTTGGAAGAATGGGTTTTTGACATATTTTTTTTAGTTTGTCAACGTATATCGATAGTACACAATGTCTGAAAAATTTTCCACTTTAATTAAAAACTTGTTTTTATTAAAATCTTCGTGTTTCAAGTATAATTAAAATGATCAAGTACAGAAAGAGGGCAATATTCTATACTGTGTCTAGAGGTTGTTGGATATTTTTTTATAGACGCGCTTCTTCTGTCGTGTGGTCGACAACCGCTTAAATCATCCTATCTTTATATCAGAATTTAATAGTCTCTCTCTTCTTTGTTTTGTTATATGACCCGTCCATTCCCTACGGTCTACAATTCTATTTGCATTATTTGCAATTGTAATTGTAGATGCGATTAAATAAAACTATTATTGTAGTGTAGTTTTTTTTAATAGGTCGTTTAGGGATATTGCAAACTTTATATATTATGTGCAATGACAATTGGCACACTCTATATTATTATATTTAACTAGCAAGAGATATTTGACTAGCGCATACCAATGAATGGGTTACTAGTGCATACAAATGTTAATTTTAACTTTTAAGAACTATTGATGATCTACATTGATTATACCTAAGCTCGCCTTTATTCATACCAAGAAATAATAAAAGTCACGTAGTTTGTATTTTTTCATTCTATTACACAAGTTACGTTATTTTGTTAGCGAATTGTAACACATTGTTAACATGTATTGGATAGTAGTTTTTCAACAACGCTTTTTACCATATTTTTAATACATAAAATACATTTAATACATATATATGTTTGCACAAAAATTACAATTCATAAATTGTAGCAAGTTTTACTTGGCAACTTCATGAACACTGTTTGATTCAAACATTAATTCAAAATATCGGTTCTAACTTTTAGAACTCAAAAATTGTCGAATTTGACTATTTTCGCTGTTATCAGTCGAACTTACCTTATACCTTTTGCAGCTGGTAAGAGATTTTTAGCCTTGATGCGTAGCTGAGAAGGTATTGTTTTTACAATGATGTGTTTTTATTTTTGTGTCTGGACCCACATATCTTGTAAGTCGCCGAACCGATTTCTTCGTATAGCAACTCAATGGATTAAAAATCGTGCCTTAAATACATTTAAAAAGTTTACCCATTTCCCTTCGAACTCAAGAACAACGCCCAAGAAAGACATTAGAATGATTTTTACCAGTAAACATGGTAAAATTAAACGCACCGAAACGTTTATTCGAAGTTGATTGAAGCACTTTCGGTTTACAGTAATTGCTCTAAACCCACCACCTCCCCGATTCCCCGATGATACACTGCCATTTCCGCTGTGCCTCGACCCGGTCTTGCTGGCTTTTTTTTTTGTCTGTAGCAACTTATATTCTTACGGTTTTCTCGTGATTTCGTTTCTAGCATAAGTAGAATTATTTATCGTTTTTCGAGAATACCGTGTGCCAATGATTTTGGCAGCAGTTTTTTTTTTTCATAATATTAGTCTAGACACTCCACGATGACGGTTCCAAGAGACCGCATTTGCATTCCGCGTCCGCCTTCGCTTCGGGTCGGTTGCCGCGACCGTTGACGCCTGTTGCGGCCGGATTTACTTTGAGTAGACGCGCGCGCGTGTATGCTTCGAATGGAAAACGTTTATTTATTTGGTTTTTTTTTTTTTTTTTTACTTTTTCCCGAGCAACACGTTACGATTGCCATCCCCTCCCTTTGACCTCGTCGCCTTCTAACGTCCACCCCCCGATGCGCATTTAAAGGGGGTAATCCGGCCGGCGGGAAAGGTGTGCGGCACTTATCGAATTAAACGGTTTATACGCTTTGGCTGCCGTTAAGGCGGTATAACGACCCGAGAATCCGGTCACCGTCCACCGCCCTGTGCCGTCCCCTATAATATAATACCTGGGCATATGAATTGTATTGGCGATGAAAAACGACCCGAGTCTCTTCCCCCGACTATAAAGTCGTTATTATCATGCTTAAGTCCAATCGGATCCTTTGCCGACAGTGTATATTCCTATTTTGAAATCCGTTCTCGGGGTCCGAAAGGGCTAGTCCCGATTACTACTTATCATAACAATATACATTGTTGTATGCTTTACCTTTTTTTTACACACACACACACATCAAAATCAATTCCAGTATTTCCAAACGGTCTAACCTGACCGTTTTGAAATTTCAAACACAGAGCCGGCTCTAAAAAAAAAAACCGTTCCTCCGCGTTTATCATATTTTAAAGTTAAGCTTTTTTAATTACAATTAAATTTTGTTACAACAAACTCTCGGAGAAAACTTTTAGCTCGTTCGCCAAAAGTCACTAAGTGTAACATATTTTTCGAGTTACTTAATTGGACACAGTATACATCTCGGATTAACTGTAACACATTTCAAATGCAAAAGAAAGTATTTGCTGAAATCACAAACTTTGTAACAACAAACGCTCCCCAGCCAGCCAGCCCCCTTCTGTTTTGCTTACGACGTTCCCTGTTGCAATGAGTCATAATTACTGCGTTGATATTTGAAATCGCAAACTTTTGTTTTTTTTTTTTGGCAACAACCATTGTTAAAAATTAATTATTTTAGTCCTTTATGGCTAATAGTCTTATTGAAAGAGTTTAAATTTTGAGTCAAGGCTGATAATTGAGAGCTTAACATTTCAACAATCTCATACACTGGGTTATTACGACGTCGGAAATAAGTATAAAATGTCATCGAATATGTTTTTTTTTTTACTAAAAACCAGGGAAGATATATATTATGAATATATATAGGGAAATCTAGATATGTTGGCATCTATTAGTAGATACCCGAAACGCATATATTGCATAGTTATTTATTACCTTAAGAATCCAAACAATAAGTTTATCGTTTTCAAGTTTTTATTTTTTCCGGGTTGTCGACTCGTTTGTACAATATTATTTTTTATCATCATACTTTATATCATTCTTAAAACGTTTGTATTTACATTAATGCGGAGTCAATCATTGTTGATTTGTTATAATTTTGTTGGAACATCCTAGGCCTTAGTGAAGTCAGAGGTGCTTTGGGTGTCCTCTAGTATTTATAAAAAAAAATCTGCTAATTTCAATTAAGTCCGAACACCCTAATATTTCGCATCGGCCAAACAAGTGATTGTAATTTTTACACGTTAAACATAGTTAATGTGCACAAATTATTTTTAAATTTTTAAATATGTGTTCACAATTTCTATAATGGATTTGGCTAACGGCGTTGATACTTATTGATATAGGATTGAAATAACGCTCCGATACAGATTGGTCTGCCTCAGACCGTACATGTCTTCCTGTACAAATTCTTTGTGTTTTTCTGGCTTCTAATAAAAAATATATTTGAACCGACCAGAATATCATCATACGACTTCTGTTTTATGCTTTTTGAATAATCGCCTCATTGCACTTACTTCACATTATTGACTCGTCGCGGATTTTCGATCGACTTTGACAAACACCGTTTACGCATAACGTCTTCTCTATGCGACGGCTGAACGAACACTAGCAAAGCTTGGAAAATCCTACCTCAGGTGCAAATTGCAGTTCAAGTATGTAGTTTCCCTTCGGTTCCGGCAGATGGCAATAGTAATGCAGTTATAAAATAAAAAGAAAATAGTGTGAATATCCAATACATGTATTTATTCACTCTCGAAAGGGACGTTTTATTGAAATACAAAAGCAGTTAACACGAGTTGACAGTGTGTGGCAGTTTACACAAATGTATTGGTTTAACACATTCCTATTATTACTGTAATTTTTATTTATTTATTATTTATAATATCTTTTATTGTTATCATTTCCCCGTTAGTGTTTTGTTTAAATCTACGTTTGTTGTTCGGTGGTCGCACTTTTATACAAATTACAAGAACTATACGGATTGTAGATATGTACTTATTAGTTATGTACTTAACTGAGTCTGTTCCCCAATAAAATAGTGTTTCCGATTTTCTACACATGTCCGGCGAGTAACCTCCTTAAAAGTTACCTCCTTACCGTAGGTATACGGTTTTAGTACTGATTATTGCACTTTTAGCAGTTTTAGTAACTGATTGCTTTCGAGTACAGTTGAGCAAGCTAAAATGAATTTTAATTTGGTTTTGTAAAATAACTTACTTGGCAATTAACTACGTTGCAACGGAAAATTTAATTAAATAATTAGTTACCTCGGTTCAATTAAAAGCCTATATTGAATTACCGACTTCATTTAAGTTTATAATAGGAAAGCTGGTCATTATAAAACGTTTAATGAATTTTATGTTCATTTAAACTTTTTAATTTAACTTTGGCCGTTCTAAACTAACATAATCATGCACCTTATAGTTTCTAAATTTACAACATTTATAACATAATTTTTTCAGCACATTAACTTTTTATTTTATTTTATCTAAATGGAGTGAATATTATTATGATACGACTGTATGATTTATTTTTTAACTCTTAGTTATTATGTTTTGTGTCAGGATATACCTTATAGTTTTTAATTGAATTTTAAAGTAATTTGGTACATTTTTAGTCATTTGTTTTTATTTATAAAATATCTTTTATGTACCTATGTTATTTTCAATATTCTAATTGTTTAATTTACCTATATTATATCTTTGGTCCCCTCTACTATGATCACCCAGTGATATTGATACTTATAATATATTACATATATGTTTAGTTTGTTTTTTAACTAAAACTATTTTTTTTTTTTTTTTTAGAAATATGGACTGTTTTGGTAACAAAAATAATCTATTCAATGAGCATAGGAATTTTTCTTAAGGTTCACACCAGTAGAAGAAGCTCCCGTTGAGGATGACTACAATAACTCTAAGGTAATAAATTAAATACACTTTACAATGTTGGTAATATATATTTCGAGGTTTGACCAATAAAAAAATGGTGGCCTATTGAAAACGTCGCTTTACATTATTGAGTAGATTTTATCACATTATTTTGAAACGGTATAATAAATAATTGTTTAACGGTATAAAATCACGGACGATGCGCTGTGTTAATTTTATTATTTAATTAGTTTTAACGGCGTTAATCTTTTCCGTATTGACGTAATTAATTTATATTCACGAAGTTAAAAATAAACTTAGCCTGGTAGTGTAAAAGTTATCATAGCACAGACACCGTATAAAAATAAACACTTTGTAAAACCATTACAAATAAGTTTAGTTTTTTTACTGGTATTTTTAGTGAAAATTTAAGCGTTTTTTGTCGTTAAAACTTTCAGTGTCGTATTAAGTAGAAGTGATTAAAACACGTTCATTAATACAACTCCAGAAATACACGACTTTATAACGTTTGTGTCAAAGGGATAGTTTACTGATTGTGGACCTGAAAATAGGACTGCTGGTAGACTTAATATAAACTTGTCTAATATATGTCAACCTCATATCACGCTTTATCACAATAGGTATTGTATTAGAAATTATAGTTTTGGCTTTGATGCGGAGCTGAGAAAATATTGTTTTTTACAATGACGTTTTCTTTGCGTAGCAAGTATAATATAGACCAGAAACCGTACCTTATTATTGGTATTTAATTGACCGAAAAATAAAACAGAGAATAGTAACTTATAATTGTTGTATTTTTTATTTTTTTTATTCCTGGCTGCTATATTTTTAACTTAAAACTGCGAATTATTTATTTAAAAAAAAATAAACCCAAATAAGGGAAGGAATCACATCATCTGTGCATTATTAATTTTCCAGGCCGGTATGTGTGAATTAATCAACAGGTCTCTGTAAAACGTTTTTATTATTTTGACGATTATGACGAACGGACAACAACATCAACGAATTATTATAGAAAGATAAATAATCGACTCTGATCTTATCCACCCTAATACTAAAACTACAATTATTTTAAGTGCGTTTTTGCTATTACAACGATTTTATCGATGTTGTGAACTTTCGTTAAATCGATTAAATTGGAATTTTAAGCGACGACTAAGGGAAATTCCGAAATTAATTCAAGTGTAAACATAATTTAGAAAAACGATTAAATAAACTAAGATTTTTTTAAATACAATTGAAGATGCAAAATCGATGTCAACACAATATGCTATGTCAGTATTTATTGGATAAGTTTATTGTAGTTCGAAGCTTTCAAGTTGGGTACGCATATTTAAGAGGAAATCGTATACAATTTTGCCATCCGTGATTACTCTCGGAGCTGTTTTAATCATATTGTATCCGAAAACGGGCGGATCAATATTAAAATTATCATTGAATATCACTGAATTTTTCAATACGCTCCTTGCCCTCCGTGACCCTACTCTATTGTATTGCGGGGCGTTTTTTTTTTAAATTATATGTTCGCGCAATATCTATACGGGTTCTTATTTTCAATTCTAGTCGGTTTTTTATCCGTAGCTGCCGATGTATAATATTTTTATTATTATAATATTGCAATTTGAATAGCTGTTATTTTCAATATAAAAAAACGGTGTGCCCTAACTCAAACACACACAGAGCGATGCTGCCCATTGTCGGTCGGACGGCGCGGTGGAGGCGGAGGACCCGGGTGAGCGAGTCGCCGCCGCCGCGCGGAACGCCAGCAACACCCGCGTCGCGGCGCGCCTGGCCACCACCAGTGTTCTCCTCCGCGGTGTCCGTGTGCCCGTAATAACGGTCGGCGTGCGCGTTCAGTGTGTCGTTAGTCCGTCGCCGCGTCTATCGTCGTGGACAAACCCGAATCGCGTCCGCCGTCACCGTCGTCGTCGTGGTGAATTATTTCACAATAGCATATAAGCTGTATTTGTTTGTTTGTTTTGCCCTCCTTATTGTGTTCTACGACCCCGACCAAGTGTGTACCCGCTGCCATCGTGTCTCGCGTGTGTGTGTGTGATTTGTAAATTTGTATATAAAAAAAAAAAAATTATAAATATAATTAATATTGTTTTTCCATAAAACAATATTCGTATATTGTCCGACGTGTGTGCGTGACGATTAGACGACGCCCGGTGGTTGTACGCGGATATCGACCGACCGGCCGGCGGTGGTGATGTGTTGTTGTTGCGGCACGCTGTTGTTGCCGTCACCGTCGTTTGCTCAGCCCTCAGCCGCCGCGGTACCCGCTGTCCGCCGACGACCTCTGCCGCCGTTCGGAAAATAATAATATTTTCAAACAAGGCCGTTAAAAAGACAAACAAAAAACACACGTTCTTTTTTTTTTTTTTTTTTTCGTATACCAGACCTTTTTTAACGTCCAAACGCACGAAAATCAACTCGGACTCTTGTCGACACACACGTTCCACGACTGCTGCAGGTGAGCGACCAAATGAAATGCTTGTAAAAGCGCGCCAAATACCGGTGTACCTCCTCCCCCCCCCTGTCACAGCACCCTCCACCCTCACCCCGTCGCGCCAAACCCGAGGAGGGCAGGTGACACCGTGGTGTCGGTCCTGTTGAACGGTCGCGCGCGCTCGACGGTAGGCCACGACGACGACGGGGTCGAGGTGAGAGTTTGCGGCGTGGGCGGCGAGCTCGGCGTCGTTCACCCCGATTATCGATTGCCATGCTCGCCGATTTCCGGCAAAACCCGTCGGGTCTGTTTCGCGTACGACCGTTGTGGGGAGGATTTTTTTTCCGAGGGGAACTCGTTATCATCGTAAACATATTAGCCTCAGGTCGTGTACCTATTCCGCCTCCCCCTCTTCTTCCTTTCCCGAAGAACGCCCCCTTCCCCCCCCCCCGTAAAAGCTTGTAATACCGCTAAATTTTCCCTCCTCCTCTCCCGACGGCCACGACGGTTTTACCAGGCACGCGGGGGAGCGGCGGTGCGTGGAGCCTGGACAACCCCGAATTGTTTGTGACACTAGTACCTGTACCTAACGGACGTTGTCTCTTAAAATAATTGCAATTTTGAAAGTTTTTCTTTTTTGGAACACTTTTGTTTATGTTATTTTACAATATTATTAGGCAATAATCAAACGATTATTTTTTTTTATTTTATTGAAAACTTTATACAATTTTTTAACTTAAACGGTGACGTATATTATATTTAATTAACTTTTTAAATTAAGAATAATTACCTGGACATGTCGATGTCTTTGGCTGGTCGATAACCAGTTTTAGATAGTTACATTTAAAAGTACTAAAGTATAGTACAGGTGGAGTGCGGTAGAGTAATGCGCGCAGGTAAGAATAATACTATACTTTACCTCATGAATTAAATATCCGAAACTGGTTATAGACCAGTCAACATTCTCAACAAATTATTCCTTATTTAATAAGTTTATTAATATGTACGTTACCGTTTTAAAAGTCAATTCAATAAAGCTCTGGAAAATACTTGAAGTGGTAAATATTTAGTAAGTCTTGAAAAAATGTAATGTCAATAAAATAAATGTTTGAATACTGTTTCGCTAATATCGCCATTTGTTGTAATACTCGAAATCCACTTTCCAACAAAACATTTTAAGACCGTTTAAACGTTTTCACAATTTTCGTACAACAAACCCACTAAAGTCTGTTCTACCGTCTACGGTGGTTTGACCGGCGAAATTTCAAAAGCGGCATTTGACTGAAGGAAAATAACCAAAATATGTTATTTCCCACTGATATATTTGGCGACGACTCGATTAAATACCTTTGGGTTTGGATATTAGCGGATTTACAGTTGAAGACGAGCTTGTTTTAAGGCGTGACGCTTTTATCCGTTTTCCGTTTTCTTCAAATGGGAACATACGTCTTTAGCTCCATAAATATGTGGATGAAAATTGTAAGGGTTTGAATTTTGAATTTTTTTACCAATCTCTTCGTTTGCGCCATGACATTATAAAGATTTGAGTTCGTTCGGTTTTTGACAACAGCAGCACGACAGTTTCCCAGTAAATAATAACCATTAACCCCGTCGATAACACTGTCGCCGATACTGTGTTTTTGATATCCCGCTTGTCTGTCATTATCTCAAAACATTTTCTATTGTGTCTCGTTGTTCAAAATATTCATATTTTCTAAGAAAACGAGTGTCTTACATCGCAGATTGATCACCCTGTAAACACAATGACAATATTGTCGGCAAATGTCGCCGGTCGAGTACACTTATACAATATTTGTGAATAAAACCAAACTAGTATGATGACTGTGTTAATGTTTTTTTATTTATACAATTTAAAAGCGAACGCTGGTTAAGGAATAATTTACGCGCGCCAGTAGAACAGGTAAATCGTATATAATAATATAATAATAATATTATTCGTCATTAATATTCCCGTTTTGTTACACCGCGCAAACTATGAAAGCCAACCGAGTACATGTTGTTAATAATTTAGTCCCATGATGTATTCTACAGGTATAACGCAATCACGACATTTTGACGTAACTAGCATTGTCTGTGTTATTCTTTGGCGTGTCGTTCATATTATTTTCAACGCGGCATTAATAATTATTATTATCATCATCGCCGTTTTTCGATTGTCCTAGTAATAATAATAATACAAAATCATAATGAAATATATTTTCTCGGAAAACCGATACTTAAAAAAATAAAAATTATGTCAATCGATACTCAGGTCGGGCCTCGGGTGTGTATTCCTCTTGTATAAATTAAAAAGATAATTAAAAAAAAGCAATCTTAATTAAATGTCATTCGAACCGCTGGTTTCATTTTGAAATTGACGTCCGAGTTAATACCTTATAGACAGACAGCCGCCTTATATTTTTTTACCGAAAACTACTTAGGTATTATCTTTCTGTAGAGAACAAATTGAAAATCGACCTTTTTTAAAAAGGCAAAAAAAACAAAATACTTAAACCGTCCTTTTGGATGATTGTCATCAGCTATTTCATAACTGAAAATATCAATTATTTCCAGCTTA